ATCGGTAGACCAGTTTATTTTCTGCTCATCAGTTTTGCTAAAATACTGGCAGCTAACGCCAATGCTTTTTAAAGGGTTTGTTGATGTTAATGCAATTGATGAGCCATGAGTTGTTGTTATGGATTGTCCTGTCCTGTTTTTTTCTGATTAATAAGTTTCCTTTCTTGTGCTGTTTTTCCTTCAGGATTCCCAATCTTTCTGGCGCCAGCAATTCCAAGTTCTTTATCCTCAGATCCAGGCAGCCCACTCACGGATGATGAATATAAGGTCTTTTTCTCTTCCTTGAGGCCCACATGGAAGGCAAGCCTGGTGTGTCAGATCCGCCGTAGCAAAGGTTGCCATGACCCTAAAATAATAGAGCTGGATCGATTTGAGAATCATGGCCAGATTCCAGAGGGTATGTGGTGCACACTTCAGATTTCCTCCAGCACCCTTTTGTGGTGAGAAATGCTGGTAGTGCTTTGGTTCCCATACATAGCTAGTCTTTCATAGCCTGTAGTAAAAAAAAAAAAAAAATCCTTAAATTTAACCCTAAAATATCTATGTGCGTCCTATAGTAGTAATCTTCCACCGTTTCAGAACATGGATCAATCTTTATCCCCAGCTCTGAACATGGGACGCAATTTTGATTTAGCCAACCCTCCTTCCTTTTTGCTCTCCTTTTTGTGACATATTCACATTGAAGACATACTGTGACTTTACAGACCACCAATCCATTCTTTTTTCATTTTTAAATGAAAACATAATACTTTGAGATTATCTTTACCATTTTCACATCTATGCTGATATTCATAGTGTTACAATAATGGACTGGTCTATATCTTCATGAATGTAAATCATACAGAGAAATGTCCACTAATTTAGTGTGCTCAAGTGGCTTGTATTTTATGCAGGCCTAGAGCTCCTCACCTGCCAATACAGTATCAGGTTGTGAATTAACAAGCATTAACAAGTTCCCCTTCCATGAAAATAAAATAACTTAGTAGTATGTCTCCCCCATTTCCCCACTATCCATGCATTTGTTTACAACATACATGTGTCTATCTTTGTAGACAAAATCCCTCCTGAAAGGCTGAGAGATGATGGCAAGGGAAGCTGAGTTGTTAAAAGAATGCAAAGAAAGGCCCCAAATGTGACAGCTCTGTTATGAGATGGCAGTAAATCTAAGTTCAAAAGCCCTTCTGAGTCACTGTGACCATGGCAGTGTGGTACTAAACTGCATTCAGTAGCTTTTCCTAAATGGAGTGGTAACAGTCAAATATCAGCTACCAAAAGACAGATACAAATGCCAGGGCATAACGGCCCTGTGAAGACCACACTCTATGGAATTGGGGAAGAAAGACCGAAGATTGATTGTGGGCGCTGTACCTGCCCTAGTTTCAGGTGGAAATGAAATGCTGAAGCTGAGCAACGAAGCTGGGATACACCACAAGAAATCTCTCCAATGAAAAATGGATGACCGTACTGAACAGTGTCAGGAAATGTGCAGCCTATTTTCTTTGATGGCTAGAGGGGCTGAGGAGACATCACATTAGGAATGGAATGAGTTTTACATTCTCAAATCAGCCAGTAGATGGGGCATTCAGCCAGTGGATTGTATATAATTGATTTTACATTCATTTCTTTTCTATAGAGCACCTGGGAATTGCAGTTCTGTGGGAAAGAATAAAGGGTTGAATACAAAAGAAAGTTAGCATCTGCACCAAACTATCTACTATCTACTCTTCCCAGTAGTTCGGGAGGAAGACCATTGTGACCATTCAGTTGGTATAGAACTGTTTTCTCAAATGTAAAATAGGTAGACATTTTAATCGTCTCTCTGTTCATATTCCTCCATGGATACTACTTTCTTTAGATCAAACAATGACCCACTTGAGTCCCTACTACTACCTGAGATCCAATGGCCATAGCAGAGGTGAAGGTGCTATGAAAGAGCTGAAGATTGTTGTGTGGGGGAGGGGAAGTTTTTTTGGAAATTGATTATGTACGTATTTCTGTGTACTTGTACTAGCAACAGCAGCAGCAGCAGCTCCAAAAGTGTGACTCTTTTCTTGATGTCACATTCAGAGCCAAAAAGATTGTCCTACAGGACAAAGTAGGGCTATGGAGATGCTACCAGGAAGATGATCTGAGGAAGAGTTGTGTGAAACTAGCCTGTGTTTATTCTTTTACTCGGGCACCCCAATTAATTTTTGACATGTATGTGTCCATATTTTTTTATTTCTTACTTTGGAATTCAGACTGCTGTTTGCCTACAATAGTGCATGTTGGCATTCTTAATATCTTGCACTTTTTAGAGGTAAAATATAATGCTATATTAAAACATTTTATACTATGAAACTTCTAATGGGTTTAAGGGACATTTTTGAAGTTTTACTCTTTCAGAATATATTGGATGGTTTAAACACCCACTGCCATGGATGTTAATGAACATAATTGTTTTATTAACTTGGTATAATCCCATTCATTTCAAACGTGTCTCTGTCCTATCTTGGGAGAATATTGTTCTCTTTCATCTTCTGATTCCAGGTCCTGTCTGTGCAGAACTTCCCCAAAGCCCACGTTTTGATACTTTTTGTGTGTTTGCACAGTTTCGATGCTTAAACCAGAAGTTCTACACCAAGGTAAGGGCAAAAACATAAGTTACAGTCTTGTTCATTTTACAGGGGCCAATCCCTTAGCAGATACTGAGAAACGAATGACTTGGCTAAAATGAAGAGAGTAAAGGGATGAGACCTGTGAATGTCATTAAGGACACCTGACATGGTATGTGAGAATGACCTTGGGAGACAGGAGTAAAACCCGCAGCCGGAGCAACAGTCTGATAAGAGGCAGCTCAGTCCACAGGTGGGGGAAAAGCATGGGAAGCATTTCAGAAAGGACCCTCCATAGTTTTCTGGGACTAAAAAGAGAGAAAAGGAAAAATATTTTTAGTCTTACAAGATTGATGTTAGCCCTTCAAGGTAGTCCAGACAAAAAGCACAACCAGAAGCATCAGCACTATCTTTACTGTAGGTTACATTAAACAGAATCTTGCAAGACTGAAAGTATTTCTCCCCTCCTCTCCTCATCACATCACCTCATAACTTTCCTTCTCATAATTAGCATTATTCCATGATGGTCAATCCAAAAGGCCAGTCACAAGAGAAGCGTCGAGATAAGCAATCATCCAGAGGGCACCAGCTAAAAAATGCAAGAGGAAATAGAAGGACCAGCACAAATATCTAAAGCAAACTGGGATGTAAAGCATATTAGCAGAATTTACCAGTAGGTGTTGCCTAGGCAAGGCTTCAGTGGTCAGCCTGAAGTGTGGAATCATGCTGAGAACAATGCTTCCTCCTCCTCCTCCTCCTCCTCCCTCATCATGCCCCCTAACCATACCCTAGAAAATGCGGTTTACCTTATAGGAAACATTTTTTTTTCTTTTTGGACAGCTTTCTTTTTTGGGGAAAATAAGCCACTTTGGATGTGGCATTAACACAGAGAGGTGGGCCAGAATTCCCTCTCCAGGGTTTGGGGGGGGGGGTGTTCTTCTTTTTCTTTTAAACTTTGTTAAACCTATTTTAGGGCTTACATCAACTTTTGCAAACTGGGTGTCTCCTAGATGTTTGGACCAACTCACATAATTCCCTAATTAGCATGATCATTGCTGAGAATTTGGGAGTTGAAGTTCAAATATTTAGAAGGCAACATTAGAGAAGGTTGGTTTACACTATAATCATTAATGTAGATGATTAAGATTAGGAAAAAAAAAAACATCCAGTAGGCCAATGTGATCTAATTTCTAGAAATCTTTTTTATATGTTAGTTTAGTTAGTTCTGTTTGTAAATTACATTGGTGGATTCAATGAATAACAAATGCAAAGACCAGTTTGGTGGGGGTTTTTTAAACCTATATTCTTGTTTATAAATACTGTTTGTCAAACAAATAAGTTGTTAATAAAATATACACGGGGAGCATAACAACTTTAAGTTTCTTAAGGTAGACATGGAATGTTTGAACACCATGACAGCAAGGGTATACTATGTTGTCATACAGCTACTAAATACTACTAGGTAACGTATATGTATGTAATATGCTAATGAATTTATTATTTTGAAACTCCTTCTCCCTCTTCATGTGAATTTATCCCTATTTTGGAGGAAGAGATTCAACAATGTGGAGGGCTTTCCTAATATTAGTTCCCATTCTGATCCCTTTCCCTTCTTCCTTTAACTTATTCTTTTGCCTCTTTTTCTGTCCTATATTACATGCTTGGTGAACTCTTCTTTATCAACTGGTAGGTTTCCAGACCTTTTGTTTAAAAGAGTCCTTATTTGTCCTTTGTTGATGAGATCCTCATTGGATCTCTCCTTGTGCTCAAGTTACTGGCCTGTGCCACTGTTTCCTTTTTTATCAAAAGTCCTTGAGGGCTCTCTCACAATTGAGTTTTTATTTGTCTTCTTGACTCACATCAGGGTTGCTAAATTTCACCTGATGAGTATTTGTAGGATCTAGGGGTTTCTAATACAAAAGATTGCGGTTTTATTGGTACATGCCTTAATTGTTAGTTAGATTATTTAGTCAGTTAGATTATTGCAATAGTCTCCTGGCAGGTATTTCTGATTCCTTTCTCCATCTTCTGATCTTAGTCCAGAACAATACCATTCAGATATTTCTACTCTATTCTCGTGTCTTATTATACTGCAGGGCTCTTCACAGGCTCTGTAGTCAAGACACAGCCCAATTTAAAGTTTATGCCAACTCTAGACTTTCCACTTTGTTTCCTCTTCACTCACACAGTGCTTAGTGGGTCTGTACTGTGACTTTGGAGATCACCCAGAACTTTGGAATACCACCTGACATCATGGAGTGGGTCATTGTCAAAGCTCTTGCCTCCTTTGAGCACCACCTAAAATTCTCCTTATGGAGCCATACTGAGATTCTGTATTTCACCCAACACTTCGAGGCTCTAAAAGTTCTATTCAGTACCTAAGAATTTCCTTTTGTCTTCTCAACTAGGAACATGGGACCATTAGGTACCCTCCCCAGGTAATCCTTACCAAATCTAACCAGAGATATCACAGAGATATCTCTACTAGGTTGGATTGTGAGGGTGCCCCTGCCTTTATTTGTTCTGTTTCTCATTCTTCCACTTTCTCATTGCTGTCTTTCAGCATGGCCATAGCTCCCCTCATATATCCAGATTACACTCCCTTTGTTCTTTTTAAGTAAATTTTAAGAACCAGACTAGGATTAATCATTTTCTTTACTAAAAACTCAACACATTTACATAAAGTTACCCATTGCTGTCTCTGCTTGAAGCTCAGCAATTGAAGATCATATCTAGCCTATAGAAGAGAAAGGACAGGGAAAAGGACATAGGAAAAGAGAAAAGGGGAAACAGAAAAAAGAAAGACCCTTAAGATCGTTCTGAATCAGTCCAGTTGGAAATAAACATCTCATTTATGACTGACCTATTCAGAGATAGGGTTAAATGATGCAGGAAGTAGGCTGGCAGGAGAAAAAACCAGAGGCCAAGGAGATAAAATAACTGGATGTTCTCCCCTCCCCTTCAGTGTCTTCTCTTTTTAAAACCCTTGGAGTGTGACAACTCTCCACTCAACAGTTCCTCCTTCTAATTGTTTCACCCCAATTCTCCATATAGTCAAAGCCCTTGAATGTCCTATTTCTTTTTTTTTTATCTGTCTTAACCCATGACAAATTAAATTTTCACACCTCGCACATCTCTTGACAGACTTATGTGTCAGGGTTCTTCCAACTTCTTTCTATGACTCTTTGTGGTTAGCTAAAAACACCTGGAGTCTGGAGCTCAAACTGCATTAGTCTTATTACTATCCGCAAAATCTGGCAAGGGATGGAAGGTGGAGGGTGGAAAGTGTTGAAACTATCTAGGTTAAGGGGAAGATATCCATGTTCTTGAAAATGACACTGAGATGAAGCAAAGATTCAAGCATCAGCATAGCTTCAATGCTTTTACTATAATCATGGTGTCTATGGTAAAAGTAGGCTTCTTGGATTATCAAAACTACCAATATTCAGTGCTCACGGGTCACAATCTCCCCTGTATCTATCTGCTCTTACTTCTCCTTACAATTCTGTTTGCTCCTTATGTTCCTTTAAGTACAGCCATCTTTCTATGTCTACTCCAGGGTGACAATCTCCAAGTTCTGGGCTTTCAAGAACCAGCTGTTTTCTTCCCTTTGTCTCTGTGAAAGTGCTATGGTCTTTAAAAGGGCTTTAAAGGCCTTTGTATTTGATTAGTGATTTAGAATAGGCCCTGGTTATCCCATCCTGCTCCATTCATCCTGGCAGAAAGATAATTACTAGGTGAGTTAGAAATTACATCTGAGGTGGCACATTAGCCACTAGCCAGGTCTGCTGAAGAGACATAGCTTGTATGGTTCAGCTTAACCACAGATGCTGCCAAGTTCTAGAGACAGTTGTGGAGGCTTTCAACTGAGATTGTTTTCCAGGGCACATAGTTGCCTCCAATAGTACAGGATTAATTGTTGGAAGAAATAGAGGATATATCTGAAAATGGCCAAGGATCATTTTATTAACCAAGACCAAAGTCCCTTTATTAGAAATATTCACAGTCTATGCACTTCTTCTATCTAAGAGAGGGGAAGTTATTAAATACATGGAAGTCATTGTATCCACTGCATTAATTTTATTTCCAAATTAAATTTTACATCAAATTTCATATTTGCCCCAACACTACCCACTTCTTTGTCTTGGCCATGTCCCTTTCAACTAGCATGGTATTCAACAGACAACTATATCCTTTGGTTCTGTAGAAGTTGCATAACCCTGCTCTACAGACTCATCTGAGCCCTGGAAGCCTCAACAACTAGGGCTTAACTCAGTGTCACAGCAATTTCTCAGTTGCACTCCATCTGATGAATTATGAGTGAAGATGATAGGGAGAATATATCAAATCAGGTAGACTTCTGGCTCATCACCATCTCTTTGAAGGAACTGGAGGTCAGCTCTTCCTCACTTATTCTTTCTTCTCTTTTTTCTAATGTAGTCCAGAGCTCATCTGTGGTCCTTCCCATTCCTAGCTCCTCTGGTTTTCTTCATCTGCTAAGGAAAGAACAGACATGTTGTTCACTCTTCTTAAGGCTATGTGGAATTCAAGAAGCCTAATGACATGGGCAGGTTGCCTTACAGAACAATAAGAGACCTAGATCCTTTTGAATAACACAAAGCTATATAGCTTAAGTCTTGTGTGCCATCTTCCTTTCACCCAGTGGGATGAGGGAAGCCCACCTCCAGTAACAGGTGCTGGAAACCGCAAAGGGAAGTGATCCTTGGGAAGATTATAGTGTGTGAAGGGAAATAAGAGCAACAAACAACGTAATTAGGCATCCTTATTGGAGAGAATACCAAGAATAGACTAGAAGTTATAAGTTGGAGACATTCATATACTGGGAAGGAGTGGGAATGGGATTCTATGTGTATACTGTAGTCATATTTCCCCAATTCTTCCCCACTTTTTTCCTGGATAGCGGATCCTGTGTCCTAAGCTGCCACTCCTTGAAGAGACTGACTTTCTCCCTACAGCCCCAAGTGAGAATCATGCCTTCGCCCCAACTGAGGTTTCTCCACTAACCCTTGAACACCGCCTCCGCTCCAATATCGACTCCATTTTGAAATACTCCTTTGCAGTCTCAGGACAGGAGCCTATGCTGAAGAATGATTTCCATGTTCCACACAGTAATCTGGAAGCACAACAGCTCCCCAAATGGCCAGATGACTTAAATGCTGAGAGTAACACCTTTCCTCCTGAAGCATCCACCCTATTTATCAAAAATGTTGAAGTCACAGAGGACGTCACAGACCAGCAACTCTTTGAAGACATCCACCATCTGATTGGCAGAGCATTGTCATTGGAGAAGACCCTGAAGGCAGAGAATATGAAAGAGAGAGAAAATGAAAATCCAAGTCTGAATATTGAAGAAGCCAACTCAGAAAACAGTTCCACAGGCAGGTAAGGGGCAAACCCAGCTTGAAGACAAAAGATTAAAATGTAATATATATTTTAAAATATTTGATGTTTTTCTGATATATTACCTGTCTTCCATTGCACAACTATGACACAGTCATGGATTTTTCTTCTTGGCCCAACAACTTCTTGGCTCAACAACTCTTTCCCAGTCTGTCAGTCAGTCAGCTTTGAGTAACTATTAGCCATACCAGAATAAGGGAAATATTTTCCCCCTTAAGCTGTCACTATTCCACCACTACTTCAAGGTGTGTAAAACAGTAATGTTTTGTCACCCACCTATGAAGAGGACTTAGGATGGAAGATCTGTGGTGCCACCATTATAATTCATTGCTAGTGGATCCTTTTTGCAGTTCCTCTTCATAGCATGTGGTGGAAAAATTCACCTGAAAGAATTGACCCAAAGCAATTGATCAGAACCTGGTTCTTTTATTAAGTTAGCAAAGACATACGGTGATCACCAGGGTCCCAACATGCAAAGCCAAGAGCACCAATGTCAGGGCAACAGAGGACTTATATAAGTTATATCACATTCCATCACACTCTAAGGAGCAGAGGCTAAATGTGTAACTGTCTCACAATAATCAAAATCAGGAAGCAGAGGGTGCCATCTGTGGAAGTGGGAGGGCGCCTGCTTGTTGAAAGAGAAATTGCCACACATGGGCTTATAATGTGCTTATCAAAAGCAGAGATGCCTGTAAATTACTCCTTCAAGTTATTGTAACAATGCAACTCTTCTTATTTTCTAAACATAGGAAAGCCTGAATTCATTATCTTTATCTTTGAGTATATCAGTATAACTGGAGAATAGCTGACCTACATACCAAAGCCTTGTTTAGACACAGGGAGGATGTTACATAGTAAAAAATGTGGTTGTTACAAGTGTCATGAAGATTTGCTACTTGACGTTGCTACGTATGAGGCGAGAAAAATGCTGCATTGCAAAGCAAAGAGTTTCATATATTGTTGCCAACTACCACAGCCTTCTGTTTTATGCAGTTCACAAAGTTTATTGGGTATATCCTCTAATACTACTACAAGTCTTACTCATCCAATACTACTACAATACTACAAGTTGTATTTATCCAAAAAATAGCCATTCAGATAACAATGTCTTAAGCCAGCTTTGGAAGGGCAGTAGGTTAGGGCAAACTTCTCTGATCTGTCCAAGGATGAAAGCATTTGATACCAGAAAAAAACAATGAATTAAAATGTGGGATGCACAAAACACCCAGGAAGGCTGGCAGTGTGCAGGAGAGTAGTAGGTTTCTGTGCTGCACAAACCCCTGTTACCCCCAGTTATCCTAGATGCCATCTACAATCTAGAACTATAATCTTCAGAAGGCAATGTGTCCTTTTTCAAGGTATCACTGTCTTGTTCCTTGACATAGCTTTCTTCACATTTATGATAAGATTTAGATAAACGGTTAGGTCTCCTTTAACTCAAATTCTACTCTTGGTGACATCATTGACACAGCCATATAGTTTTCTTGATAACAATCCAGAAGTGGTTTGTCACAGCCTTCTCCTAGCATTATTCACACTTGCTCTCACATTTAGCCAATAAAATACAGTATAGCAGTATCCAGCACTATTTTAAAAATTGTCAGTTCACAATAGTTATTTGACAAAAGCAATTATATAAATACCTCAATTTCTTTTACTAATTTTTCCACTCATATGGATATTTGACTCTTTTAGCCAATAATCAGGGCCTTCTCAATGTTTTATCACATAGGTTTTGGCTATCCCCCATGCATGAAGTATCAATAATATTGGAGTGCTGATGAAGGCATATAGCAAGATGATCATAGGCATCTTTGATAATGGTATCTATAAGGCCTTGTTCACATCTGGATAAATTCTAGAGTTTGAGGTGGTAGCATAACCCAAACTGTGTAAGTTATTGTTCCCACCCCATGTAGCACCGAATTGACTATAACCAACTCTTCTCCGACTCTTCCCTGAAATGCCCAAGAAATGAAAAATGGTTATTTACACACTGATAATTGTGGCTTTGTTTTGTTATTGAGGGTTCTGTGATCAGCACTTCTCTAGATTATATTTAAACATTGTTGCAAAAATAATTCCATTCTTGCAGTCCCTGTCCACACACTCTAGCTGTTCTAGAGGATGGTCACCCACTGGAGAAAACAAGGGAGTGCCTGTGGGGGAGAAAAGGAATGAGAAGTCCCATTGTTCTAGTGTGACTTTGGATGAAGCCCTTTGTGGGTGACTATTTATAAGGCTCTTTAAAGCAGATGCTCATTACTTCATGAAGCTTAGTATAGCAGGAAAAAAAAACGCTGTTCCATGAGATTCTGTGTATCAAGAAGGTACAGTATTCTTGTGGACTGAAATTACAAGACTTAACATTTTGAACTCTAAACAAAGCATTAAACAAAGAAACAACTAGAGAAGACACATGAAACCATTAACATCTTCAAAGGAATAAAATTCATCAGAGAGGAAGAAAACAACAATACGCTACCCTTCCTGGATGTCCTCATCAGCAGAGGAAAGAACAGCAAATTAGAAACCCAAGTTCATCGGAAGACAACCCACACTAATCAAGTTCTCCATTACCAAAGTAACAACCCAACCTCTCACAAGAGGAGCTGTGTAAGAACATTATTCAAGCGAGCACAAACACATTGCAGCAACCCAGAACAGCAGAAAAAGGAAAAAAAACACACACCTGTACAACATCTTCCAACAAAATGGATATCCACGTAATTTTATCAAAAAGTGCCTGACCACTCAACCTACTAT